AAGAAAACTATCCAGCTTATGAACTTGAAGTACTAGCAATTATCGAGGCTCTAAAAAAATGGAGGATATATTTGTTGGGCATCAAATTTAAAATCGTAACGGACTGCAACGCGAAGATTGCAAGATGGGCGTTGTTGCTTCAAGATTTTAATTACGAAATCGAGCATCGTGCGGGGACGAGAATGGCTCATGTCGACGCGTTGAGCAGAGTATATTGTTTGATGCTTGAAGACTCACTAAAGTTTCGCCTTAAACAAGCTCAGCTAAAAGATGAATGGACGAAGGCAGTACGAAAAATCTTAGAAAAAGACGAATACAACGATTTTTATATTAAATATGATATCCTTTTTAAAAATCCTGAAAACGAACTAATAGTTGTACCAGTACTTATGGAGGAGGAAATAATAAAAATGGCACACAGGCAAGGGCATTTCTCGACAAAGAAAACCCAAGACGTATTGGAGAAAACTTTTTATATTCCTCAGATCAGTTCCAAAGTTGGAAAAATAGCTCAGAGCTGCATTGAATGCATTGTAAACGAAGCAAAGTCTGGTAAGAAAGAAGGGTTTCTCAATACCATAAACAAAGAAGATAAACCGTTAGGAACGTACCATGTAGACCATGTGGGGCCACTAGAAACGACCAGTAAGTCGTACAACTACATTTTGGTGGTGGTCGATGCATTTAGTAAGTTCGTGTGGTTGTATCCAACCAAAAACACGGGAGCGGAAGCGGTGGTAGAAAGACTAAAGAAACAAGCCGCGGTATTTGGCAACCATAGGCGTATTATTACGGATCGGGGCGCTGCCTTTACATCGAATATGTTTAAGGAATATTGCGAAAGTGAGAATATTCAGCATCTGCTGATAACGACTGGTGTCCCACGGGGAAACGGCCAGGTGGAGAGAATACATAAGGTCGTTATACCTATGTTATCGAAACTGTGTACAGAAACTCCTACTGGTTGGTATAAGCACATAGATCGAGTACAACAGTTTATAAATAAGACGTCGCCACGAAGCACGAAGCAGTCGCCTTTCAAAATATTGACTGGACTTGAGATGCGTACGGCCAATATGCCGGAGCTTCAAGACCTCCTTGAAGACGCCGCCGTTGATGAACTGAATGAAGATCGCGAGGTTGTACGGAAGGAAGCTAAGGAAAACATATTAAAAATTCAAGAGGAAAATCGTAGGTCATATAATCTTCGGCGTAGAAAGGAAACTAATTATAATATAAATGAGTTGGTAGCAGTTAAGAGAACTCAATTTGGGGCGGGGTTAAAATTGAAAGCAAAGTTTTTAGGCCCTTATAAGATCATAAAGAAACTTAGCCATGGTCGATACGAGGTTGAAAAGGTAGGAGATCATGAGGGACCGGGGAAGACATCAACTGTTGCAGAGTATATGAAAAAATGGACTAATTCATTCGAGGGCGAATGACTGAGCAGGACGGCCGAATGTAGTGCTGGATGTAGGGTACCGGACTGATGACAGATGACATTT